TTTTCTTAAAGTTAAAATGGCTAACTTGCATTGTGGAGGAACAGCATGAGCAAAGCTGCAGATTGATTTATGATTTACAAGCTAGTTTGCCAACAAATCGTAATTAAATTTTGAAAGTTTGATTAAAAGTGGTCTGTGTAGACATTGGTTATTATATGTTTTTAATGGTTTTTGTATGGATTTTATAATGTTGTTTTAAATGTTTTTATTGTATCTTGTGAATTGTTATGGCATCAAATTGCTGCCAGTGTGTAAGCCGCCTTGAGTTGCCCTCGGGCTTGAGCAAGGCGGGATAGAAATATTGTAAATAAATAAATAAATAATAGATGTGCCCTCTAAATAGCAACATCTTTTATCTCTTTTTTCCCCAATTGGTAGTAATTATTTTATATCTCCAAATGAATAATGATTTTCTAATACCTTTATGGAATTGTTTGTAATGGTAATACGGTATATCTGATAGAAGACATTGTCGCTACTACGCATTTATTTGCACATTCCTTGGACAATAATAGTGGTATGAAAGAAGTTTGATTCTAATCACATATCAGATGTTACAGGTTTATTGCGGACTCATCTGTGTAATGCTGCTGCATGAAAAGACAGGCTTTAAAAGAAATAATTTTAAATTTAATTTGGACTTGAAGAACATCTAAAAGTCATTAAATATTGTGATTGTATCTCTAAATTAAAGCATATAGATTCCCCATTCAGTACCAGAAGAATTGATTTGCTCTTTAACAAGAGATTTCTGTGACCCATATTTTTAAAGCTGAAATTTACTTGAATCTAAATACACCAAAGGCACCAGATCCTGTCTAATCTTGGAAGCTTAACAGGAGCTCTAGTTAGTACTTGATAAGAACCTACCAAGGAATATCAGGTGTTACAGGCTATATTTTGGAGAAGGGAATTGGCAGAACCTTCTCTGCCAGTATGCTTTATCTAAGAAAAATCTATGAAATTCATAAGTTGACAGGTTATTGAAGGCAGATGTCCACACATAGAGAAAACCTGTTTAAATCTCTCCTTTCCCTCACAGCTTTATCAAAAAGATAAATGCAAATAGTTGTGATCAGTGATTGAAAGATTTGTGTATTTGCATTCATAGTTGCAATGTGATTAATGATTGAGAGATTTGTATATTTGCATTCTTTGTTCTGTACTGAATCAATGCACCTCTGTGCTGTAATCTTGACTTTTAGAATGAGTAATAGATTTGATTGCTCTCCTCCCTGTTCACTGGGAGGAGAGCAATGTCCAATCTCTATATAATAGTGAAGAGTAAAGATATCACAATGGCAGCAAAGATCCGCATAGTTAAAGCAATTGTATTCCCCGTAGTCACCTACGGAAGTGAGAGCTGGACCTTAGGGAAGGCTGAGCGAAGGAAGATAGATGCTTTTGAACTGTGGTGTTGGAGGAAAGTTCTGAGAGTGCCTTGGACTGTGAGAAGATCCAACCAGTCCATCCTCCAGGAAATAAAGCCCGACTGCTCATTGGAGGGTATTAGAGGCCAAGATTAAGTACTTTGGCCACATCATGAGAAGAAAGGTAAGCTTAGAGAAGTCGCTCGGAGCATCTTGGTGGAGAGTGACTAATTAAGAAATGAAGTGAAGTGAAGTGAAGTGAATGATGTTGAGGAAAATGGAAGGAAAAAGGAAAAGGGGTCGACCAAGGACAAGAATGGATGGATGGGATCCTTGAAGTGACTGGATTGAACTTGAAGGAGCTGGGGATGGTGACGGCCGACAGAGAGCTCTGGCATGGGCTGGTCCATGAGGTCACGAAGAGTCGGAAATGACTGAACGAATGAACAACAACAACAAAAAATAGATTTGATTATCCATAGAAGATTTTTCAGTTCATTTATCAAGACAAGTATCTGAGTTACTCCCAATCTAAAAGTAAGACATTAGAATCTTGGGTTAGATCTGTTGGTATCATGCAGTGACTCCTATAGAGATGTCACTATGTATTAAAAAATAAGTCTAGAAGTGATTTTCACACTACAATTTTAGAATTTCTGTTCATGTGGAACTTCATGGTGAAAGAAGAAGGCATGAGGTTCACACAGGTTGAATGGGATGGGTTCCATAAGTTTTAAAGTAAAGGTAAAGGTTTCTCATGACATTTAGTCTAGTCGTATCTGACTCTGGGGGGTGGTGCCCATCTCCATTTCTAAGCCGAATAGCCGGTATTGTCCATAGATGCCTCCAAGGTCATGTGGCCAACACGACTGTGAGACACAATAAATTATGATTTTTCCCAGTTGCCATTGGATGTATTTATTTATTTACTTTGTTTTATATCCCACCTTTTCTCCGTCGTGGGACTCCGTCGTGGGACTCTAATGTAGGACATATGAGCTTCTTGGATTTCTGCCTTAGGCTTCTAAACATCTTTGACTTATTAGATGTTTTACAACCAACCCCCCCCCCCCCAAACTAGAGGTGTTTGATTGTTAGCCATTTCAAGAACTTTGATCTGTTCCTAATCCCCAGAGAACAAAACTTGACTTTTTTCCATGAATCCATCCTGATGACATGGACAGTTAACAAAGACCTAGTAATTTATTATATATAGAAACTGACCCTTAACTTGGTGACTTGAGAACACTTTATTGAAAAAGAAATTTAAGCAGATCTAAAGAAATGTCAGCCCAAGCACTCCTGTTCTCTGGGGCAGCTTAAAGGCAGTTATGATGGGGCTATGCATGCAAGAATGATTTGTTTTAATGGAGGCCAGAAGGACAACATTCCTCTGAAAGAGCAAACACCTATGACACATTTACAAGCACACAGAAGTAGCAAGATCCTAGCTGGCATCGCAAAGTAGATGGATGGACCGCTTTGTGTTGATTCAGTGTGCATTTATTACATTTGCTTATAGAGAAAGATCTTCTTTTGTACTTTACAGCAGATTTTTGGAAAAAAAATGTAATGAGCTAAAAGAAGACAGGGAGTGCTGTTCACTGTTTTCAATACTTAGTGGTGGTATTTTTTGCAGTGTGTATGTAATCACATGATAGTGATGGACATTGTTCCAAACTATATCTGTGTTTTAACTGTTTCAAAATCAGTTTTAAAAATAGGAAAAAGTAAGACTGCCTTCATTTGAATGGTATTTCTCATGGAGTAAAAGGTTAGGATCTAGGATTGCTGATACACAGAGATCTTTTTAGTTTACAGGAAATATGGAAAAGGGCAAATCACCTAGTGACTGAGCAAAGCTGAATTTGCTCAATGTACAATATTCCTGATAGTTTAGTAAGGAAATAATTTTAATTATCTTAATGTACTTCATATCTAGGTGGCCTGGCCATAGGAATACATTTTGCTGTATCACCTCCAAATACATAAATCTAAATATAGTTGTACACAAGAGTCTACTGTGGGCCAGCAAAATGGTTAGAAATTGCAGGTTTTCTAACATTATTTAAAATTATTACAGAAACATAGAAAAATATATTTGTAGGAATGTCAGTGGTCAGTTGTTTTCAGTGACATAACAGCTTGGGTAAAGAAAATCCTAAACAAAAGGGAGAGATTGGGAAATTAATTTCTGAAACTATTACTCTTTGCCTTTGTAATTAGCTAGCAATGTTCCGCATTGGGAAGCATCTCTGAAAAATGCAGACCCCATTGTGTAAAATGTGTAAATAATACTGGGGCAAGATCTCACCTTCTAGATTTGACTTATGGATAAATTCATTCATGATCTTAAAGTCTGATCTATATTCTGGATGTTATAGAATAATCCCCCTCTTTTCTGCCCTTATGCATCCTGTGGCATGATACATAAAATAGAGTTAATATTCTACCCTAGACATACCTGAACATAATTCCTTCACAATCTTTTGAACAGTATGAACAGCCTTGTGAAATTCGTGAAATGTATTTCTGAACAAGCACCTGTAGGGCTGAATTGTAAGGCAGCCTATTGATTCCTGATTTCCAGCAACATCACATACAGAGACTTACTTACTTAGGCGATCTCTCGTTGTCCGAGTAGGATAGTCTAGGATAGTAGAACATACACAGAGAAGGGTGCACATTGCCAATGAGGCAGAATCACACATCATGTTAGGAGTCTCTTTGTGGGGAAGCTTATCCAATGAACCTAGACCAATGTTATAGTCTGCATGGGCCTGTTCTCTTCATCTGACATCAAGCAGCTAGGGTAGGAAGCACTATATGGGATTTTAGCCTCCAGTTACTTTAACACGTGTAAATCACATGGATTTACATAGGTTCCTTCTGATGCAACTAAAGTGCCTTCACTTTTTGAGGCATTACTTAAATCCATACTGAAATCTTAAGTAGGCCATGTTGATTAATCTAGTCTTAGGTGAACATAATTTGGCATTACCTTCACTTTAGTATGTGTAAAAGAGCATGGTGCTTAGAGTATGAATTAAGAGAGGTAAGCATAGATTATGATTTTTTAAAATCTATAGAATAGCTGTGCATGGCCCACCTCTTTTGTTCACTTGCTAAATTGTTTTATATTAGAACACATTTCTGATGTAGATTAAGTTCATATACTTAGCCGTTTTAAAAACTGGGCTCTACAACAGATACTATTGTAGTGGATACTTTTTATTTTTGTCTACTGTATGTTGTAGCATAACAACATCTTTTTGTAATAGTGAAGTACCTTTGTCATAATGTGTGTTTTGCTTTATAGAACTAGGCTTCTCTTGATGAAAATTAAGCACTCAAACAGATGAATAGTTTAAGATCACCCATTGTGGAAAGTTAGATATCACTCAGTTTTGGATACAGTTGGAATTAAACTGATGGGTGGTTTTCCATAAGCACACGAAGAACAAGAGGCAGGAAATGTGTTTTCATAGTAGATTGAACTGTAAAGACACCCAGGCCTTGTTTTACTTACAAGAACTGAATAAATCAGAATAATTTTCATCAAGAAAAGCCTTTACTTTTTTTTTTTTTTGCATTTTGAACTTTTTTCTAATAAGATGTTTTATGTAACAGGTGGGAGATTCAAGAAAGAGATAGTAGTTGATGGACAGAGTTATCTTCTGCTTATTAGAGATGAAGGAGGTCCTCCAGAGGCCCAGGTGAGCATTGCATGTAATGTTTTTAATGGACTAGATCAAAACTTTACCTTTTTGACAGAAGAGATTTCCATTATTTTCAGAGATTTTTTTCCCCTGGAAATACAATGAATTCACACAAAAACTATTATGTGAAGGACATGTTACATCCCTCTAAACCTTTTGTGAAAAAATCCTGAAATGTTGGTGATTATGATTGTGATGGGGCGATGCTCATAACAATATGATGATAACGACTACTAATAGTAGTTAGAATATAAGTGTGCTAAACTTTACAGAACTACTACCAGTAGAAGCAAAGTTTTGAAATTTGATCTTTCATTCCTAGACTTGTTGTGCTTGAAATTTAAATGGATTTAACTGCCATTGTTGCCACTTGGTGTATGTATATATACATATAGTCTTCAAAACTGAGAGGGCAAAATATTTTTATTGGGTAAATACAACAAATTATGTAAATACAACAAAATATGGAAAAGTCAAAGGGCAAACAAATGCTTCTCCAAGACACTGTATTGACATGTAACAAAATATTTTCATCTTGTATCAAAGTTTCATACTGGTAATTCTTTATGAGGTTTTGAGCAGCAAGAGAATTGGGATTGATGTTTACTTCAATGTCTTAATGTTAGTTTTGAATACTGTAAATACACCAAGCATATATTATCAAAAGTTAACAGGGATGTGTGTAATTTGTTATATGGTATACATTCACATAGGAGTATGGTCTTCATTAAAATAACCAAAATATGCCAGATCTCCAGTACACATTATGCCTTCTAGTCAATAGTCTGAATAGCTAAAACTTCCTGTTCGTTTGTCTATAAAAGTATTGAGATGCAACATACAGGTCGAGTATCCCTTAGCCAATATGATTGGGATAAGAAATGTTTTGGATTTTGGAATACCACTATTTGAATTTACGTACATAATGACATAGTTGGAGATGGGACATTAAATTCACTTATGTTTCACATATTCTATATGCACATAGCTGATGGTAATTTTATACAGTATTTTTAATAAGTTTGTGCATGAAGTAAAATTGGTCTGCATTCAACTACCAGAAAGCAAATATGCCACTGTGTTACCCATGTGCACCTTTTTGGATTTCAAGATTTCAGATAAGGGATGTTAAACCTGCAATTGCCCCTGAATCCTAGAGTCTCTTTGCATGAGTTTTGAGGGGCTCATGGGAGCAGTGGTCAAGATGGGGGATAATCCCTCTCCCCACTCCTTATTCTGCTGGATGCTACTGTTTTTGACATGGAAGTTCACTGTTGAATCCTTCCTTCCTTAGCAATGTTATTTCTTAGTGGTATATTCTACAGTCATATAAGTCACATACCAAAGAACTTTTTTGAGAATGTGTTACTTGTGGGCAGCTATTTAAATTTTGCTTCTGCTTTTCATTGCTGTGGAAAAGAAAACAGCACATCATCCTGGTTCATTCAGTTTAGCAGCTTGCATGTATAAGTATGTTATGCAGTTTTATTTCCAAAAATGGATATGCACATTTACCAGAGCATGGAAAAATCTTGCAGCTAGCATATGCACTAACCGCAACATTTTTGTGAATCAGTTTGCTAGTTCTGATAAGTCTAACTTGAAGAGCCGCAGCAGGTTTGGCTCTCTTGATGTTGTTGGATTGTAGCTCCCAGTATTCCTCACCTTTGGCATCAGTATCTGGAGGTTTTATGAGTCTTACCCTTGAGACAGAAATAAAAAGAAGATGAGGAAGATTAGCATTTGCCAAATAAGAAATGATAAAATCAGAGCCGGAAGGCTATGCAACAAGAAGGCTTTAATACCGGGACAAAATGTGTTGTCAACACAGGGTTTGAAAACATAAATTTATCATTTGAGCATCTGCTCCAGAATGGATTAGATCCCATAGTCTCACAGTAGTGGCACTTCATGCTTCATCAGTTGGCAGACTGGAGCATTGTTTCTTAGGAAGCTATATCTGAAATCTTTTATACTACTCATGTATAAGTTTAGAAATTGTGGTCAACAAATCAGCCCCCTAAAACTATTTGTTGACCAATTGTGGTCAACAAATCACCCCCCTAAAACTAGGTTAACTTACTCATAGGTCAGTGTAAGTGATGAACCATATCAGAAAAGGAGCCACCCCTTTCTGTGATGAGGCAAGAGGTCCTTAGAAGAACCGTAAAGGCACCGGCCTCTCCTACTGTCTCTTCCAAGCTGCTGTTTCTGGCCTTTTTGAGTGCCTGGTTAGGGAAATGGTGGTGGCAGCCAGGAGCGGCTGGTCCCTGAGGCAACATGGTTATTTTGCCCTCTCTGTGAAATGATCTTTGACTTATCAACAAGTCATATCTAAATCCATATTTTTGGTTCTCAAACCTGCCCTTGATTTATACATTAAGTTTATATATACACATGTGTCAGCTCACAGTAGCTGCTCCCAAATGAAGACACAGGACAACGCTCTGGTATCACTGAGAACTTTACTACAGGAAACATAGACATGCAAAAAGCTGAGAGTGCCTGGCAATGGTTGGCACTCCCTTATATACTCTCCCCCACATTCAAAAATGTAACTCCCGCCAAGAAAAAACCCTGCGTAATTCACCCGCCAAAACTGCTAACCATTCCCTCTCAGGGTCAATTGCTGCAGGTGTCTTATCAGAGAGTTCTACGTCAGGGGCCCTGATTTCTGGCGCCAGAATCAAGGCCCTGAAAACTGGGTCCTGACACACATGTATATGCAGTAATTCTGTAGTTGGGGTGTTGTGTGGTTACTGTTTGGCCCTGTTCTATCATCAGTTTCTCCTGATGTTTTGCCTGGATCTGACTGGCATCTTCAGAGGATCTGTAGTTTTTAAGGTTGTTCTGGATGTTAAAAACTCTAGGGTTTTGTGAGAGTTGCTCCAGGTTCCACTTGGTCTATGCTTGCGGGGAGAGGGAAGGAGAACCATTGAACAAGCACTGAACCAAGTGGGGTGGAGGTAGCAGGCTGTTCCCATCTTGCTCACAGTCCACGAGAAGCAGAGGAGGAAAAAGTGGCCTCCATCAACAGTCACTACTGTACAGTAGCAGCAGGACATTGTTGGGTACCAAGTCATTGCCCTCCTTCAAATCTTTGTAGCTTCCATTTACTCCACCTGCTGTCTTTATGCTTTTCTCTGCTGCTTCCTCCACTCAGTTGAAGTGAGGCTAGAATTGGTTCACAGTGCAGTGGATGCTCTGCCAGCTGAATCACATCTTTCCAGTTCCTAAAGAATGTCACTGTCTACCATTTCATTTCTGAGTCAAGTTCAAAAGGCTACTGCCTTAGCACACTGCACACCTTCAAGTTGCTTGCCACTGTATGGTGGCCCCATGAATTTCATCGGATTTTGCCAGTTCACTGGTGGTTTTGCTCATTACTTCCTCCAAAAATATAGCCTTGACAACAAATTTCCCATCCAAGTACGCACCAGAATTGGTCCTACTTGTCTTTCAAGATGAGGCAGGATCTGGTGCCTTTAAGGTATTCAACTCCAAACTGTCAAGTCAACTTTATTTATACCCTGCCCATCTTCTGTGAGGACTTGGGGCGGCATACAACATAAATGTCAGCCATTCGATGCCATACAATACACAGTGAAAATACAAATCACAATAAATTAAATTCATATATCTAAAACAACAGTCTAGCTTAACAAAACTTGAAAACAAATAAATAAAAGGAGATAAAAAACCCAATCAGCAGATTTTGTCTTGTAGAAGCAGTTTCACAACAAAACTAGGAGACTTCAAAATAATAACACATTGTGCCACATAGTAGAATTGAATTCCTTACAGCACCAAAGAGAAACAGAGAGGCACAGTAACCAAGTACTTTCTTTTTTAAATTTCTGGCATTACAGATTAAATCTCTTCTGGTCCCCATTATTCACCCTGTTTGGAAGTGCCACAAAACTCTGATAGTGTTGTCGTTGGTAAAGGCAAGCTGATGATTCCAATTGACTTGTATTACATTTGAATTACTGTAGCTGATTCAATCTGTCTATTATTTTACCCTTCCATTTTTTGGGTTTTTAAAATGATAATTTATTGTATACTGATTATTCTCTTTTACCCTGCTCTGATGTCCACAATGTAAATGGGTAAACAATATTTTAAATAAGCAATCTTTTTATGGGCTGTTTGAACATAGAACAGCTTTCCAAACAGTGTGATCTGATGTGGTTAACTATCACTTTGTAAATATTTGTTTTGCAGTGAAGTAATATGTGCTGCAATCAAAGAATAACTAGCTGCTATAAACAACTATCAAAAAGATGTTTTGTGTTGACACTTCTAGAAATTCAGAATATAACAACTGCTATTGTCTTACACTAATATTCATATAATTCTTGTATAGTAAAACATTTACTGCCAGATGTCCCATTTATAACCTAGTGCCAGTTTAGACATTAGCTCCTTGATTTAATGGTTGCTGCTTGCTCTCAAGAGTATCCTATCTGTAAAAATCTCACTGAGTGTTTATCTCCTTTTCTGCCCTGCAGTTTGCCATGTGGGTGGATGCTGTTATATTTGTCTTCAGTCTCGAGGATGAAATTAGCTTCCAGACTGTTTACCACTACTATAGCCGTATGGCAAACTATCGTAACACTAATGAAATCCCAATGGTACTAGTGGGAACTCAGGGTAAGTGAAGTCTCCTGTGCATATTTCTTGGAAATCACTTAATTTAGTTGGGAAGTTTGCTTGGGGTATTCCATCAATAGGTGGTGTCATGGGCAGAGTGGGCAGAGCCAGGTATAATTCTTACCAGTTTTGACATATTTTTACCAACATTGAAAAGTGAACAGTCTGCAAAACAGCACTTTTTTCTGCCTCGTCAGACTGCGTGGTTAGTTTTCAGTAAGGCTATTTAAAAGTTAGGCCAAAGTACCCTGAAGGCACCAGATACTGTCTGATACTGGAAGCTAAGCAGAGTAGGACTTCCAAGAGAAGATCATGGGATATCACTCCTCAGTATTACTTTCCTTAAAAAATTATATGCAACTGGCAGCTTGAAGACACATGCACATACATTTACATGTTAACCCTGTAGCTTTAAATTTCATTTTATTGCTAATGAGAGATAACAGGTTGAAAAGATACAGACTAGACGAGAAACTTTATGGACCTTAGTTTAGAGTTTTCCTTCACCTGGTTTGATTATGTTACTCCAGTTTTTCTTGGGTAAATAGAGATATTTACAGATCTCTTTCACATATAGTCAGTATATTTTCCTTATTAATATGTTTTTAATGAAATCTTTTTTCACATAAAGGAGGGACATGGAGCAATTAGTTAAAATGGAAAAAGGGGGGAGTGTGGGGATAGCGGAGTTTTTGTTAGTAAATTAACTCTTAGATTAAATATCTAGTATGTCACCGGAGAAGAGGTTTGAGGAGGTAAAGGGAAAAACATTATACAAAATTATAGTTATTCTGTCTAATTCTTCATCACTATTCCTCTTACACAGAATGCTTAAAATATTAAAATATTACAAATTCCAAGAAGATATATATTTAAAACTCTAGAATTTTAATAATAACTTTGTTTGTTAAAAGTTTATTTTAATATAAACTTTTTACTGATGTTCTGTCTGTGCTTTTTATTGGTATTGATTTTAATCTTTGTAAGTTGCCTTGAATTTATTATTTATTTATTTATTTAAAACATTTATATTCCACCCTTCTCACCTCGAAGGGGACTTGGGGCGGAGCACAGCATATACATGGCAAACATTCAATGCTGGGACACAAATTCACATACAATACATAAATATTAAAAAACATTTATCAAAATATTGAAATACACCATTTAAAACCATCCTAGTCATCCGCATCAGATTTAATTGGCCTGGTCATCTTTCCTATTGCCGCTTTATTTCCCTGTCCCGAAAGCTTGGTCCCACAGGCAAGTTTTTACCATCTTTCTAATGGACAGGAGGGAGGGGGCTGACCTGATCTCACCAGGAAGGGAGTTCCATAGCCAGGGAGCAATCACCGAGAAGACCTTGTCTCTCGTCCCCACCAATTGTGCCTATGACAATGGCGGGACGGAAAGCAGGGCTTCCCCGGAGGATCTTAATCTACGCAATGGTTCATAGGGAAAGATGCGTTCGGACACGTAATTTGGGCTGGGGCTGTTTAGGGCTTTATAGGCCAAAGCCAGCACTTTGAATTGTGCCCGGTAGCAAACTGACAGCCAGGGGAGCTGGCGTAACATGGGAGTTGTACGCTCCCTGTATGCCGCCCCAGTTATCAGCCTGGCTGCCTCTCGTTGGACTATTTGAAGCTTCCGAGCAGTCTTCAAAGGCAACCCCACGTAGAGTGCGTTGCAGTAGTCTATCCTAAATGTAACGAGAGCATGGACCACCGTGGCCAAGTCTGAATCCCACTTTTGGGAGAGAGATAGACTAAAAATGAAATAAGAGTAACTATGACGACAACAACAATAGCTTGATAGATACAATTCTGTGTCATTCTTACATATGTTATAACTAGTTTCTACATTGTGTTGAAGACAAGGTGGGATATTAGAATAAATATATTAGAACAAAACAAAAAAAAGCTGCTTTGCTAATGTGGAAAATGAGATAGAATATTGTTGTTGGAGGCTTCTTTGCCTGCCCTAAATAGTGGGTTTGAGGTATGAATAAAGTCCGGCAGAGGGATTATCTGAGGAAGCAGAAGCGTTCCAGGTGATAAACATGCACTCTATGACACTGGCAGATGGGCTTCTGTTTTGGAATACACTGCCTGAGATAATCTTATTCTCCAAAGGACTTATGTTCAAGCCTAAAAGGTAGAAAGGAGCATTCTGTGAAACCTAAACTGAACTCAGTTTCCTGGTTGAATTGGAAGGACTGGAGGTAGGATAAGAGTATGCAAACCCAAGCAAAATCAATTATTTCATTTTAAAACAGCTGCGATTGCATTTTATAATTGTACTTTGTAAAGAACCTGTTAGCATATATTATTATTATTATTATTATTAATAATAATAATAATAATAGCACCATATCTTGATCTTACATTGCACTTGTGAGGCCTCATGGAAGAGACCTGCAGTTAGTGTAATCTTAGTTAAAAGAGAGTAGATTTTCTAGGATTTACCCCAATTACCTGAGATCTTGAAGATCTGCTGTGTTTGGTGAATATCATACCACTTTTTATGTTGTGGAGAATTCTTACGTTTTTTCTATCTTAAGGACTTCATTGGCAAACACAATTGCATTCTTTACATGCTAGAAGAGCCCAGAGGTTCCTCCACAATACCAGACATTAGGCATGTGCAATCCATGGTTCTAAATGGTTCTAAAGTAGGTTGTTGTAAGTTTTTTCGGGCTATATGGCCATGTTCTAGAGGCATTTTCTCTAGTACTTACAAAACTAAAGTTCTGGTTGTGAAAACTAGGGGGTGCTGGTGCTTTGCTTCTACAGTGTTGCTAAAGTTCTGGTGGTGAAAATTTCAGAACTCTAACAAAACTTTCAAAATTTCATTATTATTTCATTATTGGTGATTTTTATGGCAGAACCTATTAGGAACTGCCATTTATAATGAAATTTTGAAAGTTGTGTTAATTTTCACCACCAGAACTTTAGCAATATTGTAGAAGCAAAGCACCAACGCCCCCTAGTTTTCACCACCAGAACTTTAGTTTTGTAAGTAATTTAGAACCATGGATTGCACATGCCTACCAGACATTTAAGATATGGTGTTGCTGAAGACACTATTGGAAAACAAAGCAGCAAGAGCTTGCTTTATATGACTCTGTTTACTATAGCTTCTCTGTTTCCTTGGACTAGAACCCAAGTGTCTCTTGGCAACAAATGATAAGCTGACATGTATATTAAAAGTTAAAAGAGGTATATGGAAACAAAGTGATTTTGATGATGTATGGAGAAAATTTATTTTAAAAAGAGTAAATAAGAAAGAGGGAAAGGCACCTCCACAAGAGGAATTGAAATTTTGGACAGATGATATGTAAATTGAAGTGGCTTGGAGGGGGGGGGGGCACACAGTGGTGAGAGATAGATAACATGTATAAGCAGAAAAATAACAGTAGATGCCAAAAGTTAAAGTATGGTAGCTTGTATTGAATAGTATGTATCTGCTGTAAAACAAACAATGTATCACAAATGTATTGAACTATGATAAAATATATATATAAAAGAACCCAAGTGTATCTTTGCAGAACGAGCAACTTGGTCTGCTCAGAGGGCTGTCTCTTGGAGAGGCTCTTTGAATTTTCCAAACATTTGTACTGTTAATGGACTATGAAGTAAGAGTGCCCTTTCTTATTCGCTCCAACTCTTATAGATCTTTCTTTTTTGGGTAGGAATTTGAATTGCCAAGCTTCTTTGGCTGTTCATAAATGGGAAGCAGATAATATTTTTAAAACAATATGAAATAATAGCACTTTATTTATTTATTTGGCTTGGCTGTTTTGACTGTTTAGTCAAAAAGCTCCAGAAAAGTAAAACGAATATTAAGCAGTCTTGCATTTTAAGTATTTTCTGGAAAAAAAATCTCTTTTTTCTGAATAGATGCTATAAGTTCCAGTAACCCTCGTGTAATTGATGACGGCAGAGCACGAAAGTTGTCAAATGATTTGAAAAGATGCACCTACTATGAAACCTGTGCTACCTATGGACTGAATGTGGAGAGAGTCTTTCAGGATGGTAAAGTAACCTTTTCCTGCTCAGTGTCATAATTATTTGTACCAGTGATTATGAAATCGATTAATAATTCTTGTAATGTCCACTTGAGCCATACACTAAATTTGTGTTTGCTTTTGTTTGTTTTTGTCACTGATCTTCTTGTTTTCTATGTGGGGAACTGCCTTACTTAGCATAGGAATTTCTTAGGAGAAAAATGGGGCTCTGCTTCTCTCTTAAACATGACCTTTTCCCCAATCTCATCTTCATATGTAGCAATCTTGAAAGTACAGTGTTGCTCATAAGCATCATGAACAGCCACTTAATATTCAGTAACTACTGGACAGGAAAGGCAATGTACAAGGTGCTGAAGAGTATTTGCTTTGTTCATATGCAACTGCAACTTGCACTAACACTGCCCAGATAGAATTTAGGGGAAGTGCCACATCACTTTAAGAAGTAAGGACTTACTATATATACTTGAATATAAACCGACCCGAATATAAGCCGAGGCACCTAATTTTACCACAAGAAATTGGGAAAACTTATTGACTTGAGTATAAGCCGGGGGTGGAAAATGAAGCAGCTAATGGTAAATTTCAAAAATAAAAATAGATACCAATAAAATTACATTAATTGAGACATCGTAGGTTAAATGTTTTTGAATATTTACTGTATTTCAAAGAAAACCAGTAAACTAGCTCTTTAAGTAGAAAAGGAGAGTCAACAAAAACAACATGGTATCAACAATAACTTAAGAAAAATAGTAATAATAATAATTTATTTGTACCCTGTCCTATCTCCCTATGGGGACTCAGGGTGGCTTCCAACATAGGCTTAATAATATTAAAAATAATAATAATACCAGAGTTGGAAGGGATCTCTAAAGATCATCTAGTCCAACCCCCTTCATTCTGCCTTCATGTAGGGATAGCACAATTAAAGCACACCCAACAGATGAAGGAGAAACAGATGCGCACATGTGGCGAGATGAGCAAGGAGGGAAGCGCGACTCCGTTTCTCCTTTTTCTCGTGGGGCTCCCATTTCTCCTTTCTCTCACTGCACACGTTCCCTCTGCTCTCCACGCAGCAACCCGAGAGAAGAGAGGGTATGCGTGTGGCGGCAGAAGGAGAAACGGAGCGCATCTCCCCCCTGCTTGTCCTGCCACGCGTTGGCCTCAGTTTCTCCTTCTGCCGCCATGCGTACACCCTGTCTTCTCTCAAACAGCAACCCAGTTGGGTTGCTGCGCGAAGAGCAGAGCAGAGGGTGCATGTGGGGCGACAAAAGGAGAAATGGAGGTGCGCAGCTCCCTCCCTGCTTGTTTTGCCGCACGTGTGCCCCCCGTTTCTCCTTTTAGCTGCGGCCAGGCAGAGGAGGAGGAGGCTGCTGAGGGAAAGACAAGGCCAGGTGGCAGAAGAATGGGTGAAAGCAATGGCAACAATGGAGCCCGCCGCTGCTTGGCTCGAATATAAGCGAGGGCTGAAAAACTCGGCTTATATTCGGTACTTCATGGAAGAGTCATTCTGGAGTGGAAAGTTGTGCTAGTGGAAGATTGTATCATTAGAAGCATCAAGAGCTAAATTCTGGTGGGTATATATATCACATTAGAAACTGCCTACCTACAACGGCTGTAGATTTAGCACATCATTTTGAAAGCCAACATGGCTGGGGTTAGCAAAGACAGCACTTGAATGTACCATGTAGACATGTCAGTTACTAGGACTTCTTTTGCATGAGAGCTGGCTAATATTCGCATGATTTGCTTTTTTAAACCAACCCATTCTTTTTATGCTAGAGGTCTAAAACTGTTCTTGCGGGTGAGTATAGATACTGGTACATCATTTTACTATGTTTCTGTTCCATTTTTAATGTCATATAAGCAAAATTTTAAAACTTTGCAAACTAAATGTTTTTAAAAGGCAGGAGTCTTAGTTCTGCCCTCGTTTTCTGCTTTCATTGCAAATCTTGACTCCAGACTGGATGAATAACAGTGACCTGAATCCTCTTGTTTATCCCAAATTGATTCATTGACTCAATGATAACTTTGCAAAGAATCACTTGTGGAAATCTGGTTGATTCAGTGGATCTACTCTAGTTAGAACTTAGGCTCCTTCTACACCAGGGGTGTTCAAACTTTTTAAACAGAAGGCTAGGTCACAGTCCCTCAAACTGTTGGAGGGCCAGATTACAATTTGAAAAAAAAGATTAATGAATTCCTATGCACACAGCACATATCTTATTTGTAGTGCAAAAAACATTTAAAAGCAATACAATAATTAAAATGAAGAACAATTTTAACAAATATAAACTTATTATTATTTCAATGGGAAGTGTGGGCCTGCTTTTGGCTGACGAGATAGGATTATTGGTGTTGTTGTGTGCTTTGAAGTTGCTTCAGACTTAGGTTGATCCTGAGCGAGGGCCAGGTAAATGACGCTGGAGAGTCGTATCTGGCCCCCTGGCCTTAGTTTGAGGACCCCTGTTCTACACTGTCATAGAAAATCCAAATTATCTGATTTGAACTGGGTTATATGGCAGTGTGGACTCAAATAATCCAGTTCAAAGTAAATAATATGGTTTATCTGATTTGATAATCTGGATTATGTGGCAGTGTAGAAGAGGCCTAAGAGTAGGGTTTGTACCTTTACATCCAGCTGGAAATCGATTTTTTTACATTTTAATACATCCAGCTGGAAGAAAGAGATCTGTAAACAAACTTTACACATCTCACATTGTAAACATACATCCCGATAAAGGTATCATCTTACTGCCTTTGTATTTGTGCATTCCTGTCTGTTCCGTTGTCTTACATATCTCATTTTTATATTTGCTGTGTTTCTCATTCAATCATCCCTTTTCTATTCTTCACTTCTTCACTTCACT